CCGGCCTCTTCCCAGGAAGCTCTGAGGCGTCAAGATAGCAGAGGAGACAGGATGTTCGACGGCTTGCTTGCAGTGTGTCCAAAACGACTGGCACTAAAGGTGACGAAGGAGGTCATGCTGATTTGGAGACACATGGCCAACAACGCCACTGCCTCCGGTTACCAGGCGCTTGTCTGCGTCGCTGCATTCAGTTAAGTTTGCCGCTGTTGAGGGCTACGAATGGACTCACCCTCGTCGACATCTGTCACGACCCGGTAAACGGTTTGCGGTACGGCCACCGCGGCGACCAAGACAGCCTCATCAAGCATTTCACATCCGCCGGAGCCCTCGCAAAGGGACATTGCGGCGCCTCAGTGGTCGTTGGGCGGAGATTTGCTTGCCAGCTGCCTGGAAGGATTTCAGGAAGAGTGTTTGCAGACCCCTCATTAATATTCCACTTAGTCCACTTCACAAGGGTTATCATGGTAATCAGGGTATTGGCGGCTCGAAGGAGAGGTCTGGATGTTTCCCGGGTTGCAGAGATTCTTCATACCATTAAAGCGTGACTTGAGACCGCGAGACTTTCATTTGAGATACTCCCAAAGGGTCCAATTTCGGGCTTTACAGAATTTCAGGTATACTATATGATACTCCAAAGCTCTATTCCGCAAGCCTATATAGTCGTTTTGTTTTGGGGCGCTTATAACACCCCACCACTGGGATAGTGATGTAGAACTCGGAATAACAAGTCCGAATCGTGTTCTTTAGGGCTCCGGAGTCTAATCATCGTACAATCATACCCCCCCCCGCCCAAACTTCCATGCTAATGCTGAAGGCCCCTATATTACAAGCTACGTGTTCCTTGCAATAGCCTGAAGGATCCTTAGTACCTCTGTGGATTCTTTTCTAGGTGGCAATTTGGGAAACTCTACAAGTTCCCTTACGGTTTGTAAAGAGGTGCCTATTCATAAATACTTTTCAGGGCCCCAAGAACTACAACCCAGTTTTTGTACTCCTCGGGATAGAGAAGCCCTGTAGGAGCTGGCGGGACACGGAAGGATTAGATAAGTTGGCATCGCATTGGAGTTATAGAGTGCAAAAACGCCTTCGTTGGACTTGTCTGTCGTCCTGTCCTACTCTTCCGGTCCTGAAGAAGCTCCTTCGTGCTTCCCCTTGCAAAGTCGTACGCGCAGCCCTTCTCGACTTATGTAAACCCTGATAGGGCCCTATGACACCTTATACTCCGCTACAAACACCAAATATGCCACGAGTATGAACCCATACAAAGCATGCCAAGGTCTGCATCAACGACTACGTGGGCAAGGCTCCTGTCTTCGATGTTGCCCTTAACTTGTACGTAGTATCCATCATATTGTTTTTCATATTGAGTGCATCCCCAGAGAATCCTTATCAAAAAATGGTTTAACAACCCTACACCTTAAACCCTAAACTCCTAAACCCTAAACCCTAGGTTTAGTATTTAGGGAGGATTTAGAGTCTTGGATTGAGCCACGATTTGGGTCTTGCGGCTTAAATCTAGACCCTCAACCCAACAGGGAACGCACAAAGGAGAAGGGTCTTTGGGATTTGCAGCTTTACGGTTTAGGCTTTGAGAGACTAGGAGGCTCTACGCTAGGGATATAAGTAGTTCTCTAAATTAGGGTCCCTTCGTATAGTAGGGCACCCTTCCAAAAGGGACCCCAAAAGGGACCCTGGATTGGAAAAACTGCCCACCTACTTTTTCTTTTTGTTTGCTCGGGATAAGAGTTCGAAGAGATCCAAGGTATGGGGCTCCTAATATAGCGGCCCTCGACCCTAAACCCCAAACCCCTAGACTCTAAGCCCAAAACCCTAACCCCAAAAATTTCATAGGAGAAGCCCTCAATCCGGTTTCCAACTTTCCGGTGGTTCACTAGAAACCCCGAAGCTCAATCGTCTACCCTAGAATCAGCTTAAGAACCTCAAGCTCAACCCAAAACCCTCAACCAAACCGAAGCCCAAAGGCTCTAAGGAACTACCTATAGGCTCCAAAGTCGTTCCTTTTGGGGATTATAGGATCTTAAACATAAACCACAAAAAAGGAACTACTTTGGAGCCTATGGGTAAAGCCCTAAACCCTAACCCTAAGGGTCCATCTACCCAAATAGTAGATACTTTGGCCCCCAAAGTACCCAAAATAGGGACCACTTTAAGGCCAACGTATACAGCATTCAGGTACATGGGCCCGGTAAGCCAAAAGCCTCGCAAAATCACCTCCAACATCCTCATCCGAGTGGGGAAGCATAGGGTTTAGGGTTCAGGATTGGTGCGATTTAGGGATTTGGGGTATGGGATTTGGGGTTTAAATTGTAGCTGTGGTTTCATATTGGGGAGCAGACGATGGTTAGGTACTTGGACCTGTATGGGGTCACCTCAAGAGCTCTATGAATCATGATGCATCAACCCCGTTTCCTTAAGGACCTTAGTACTAGGAGCACAGAGCCCTATCTTGGTGCCTATTCCCGCGGAAGCGAGTTTTCTTTTCAGGTTTTGCATTGCAGTCCTGACGGTCATTTGTCAGTGGTTACTTCAATGTCCAAGCTCTACAAACCCTCAGCCTTGAATCCTAGGCTATGAAGCCCTAAACCCTAAAGCCTAACCCTGAACCCTAAACCCTAAAGCCTAACCCTGAACCCTAAACCCTAACCCTAAACCCTAAGCCTTAACCCTAAACCTATCAAGCCCTAAACCCTAAACCCTAAACCCTATCAAGCCCTAAACCCCTAAACCCCTAAACCCTAACCCAACCAACACGTGCACGTTGGAAGGCTGGGCCCTGAAATAAGATGTAGACCCCTGATTTAGCTCCTCCCTTAAGTAAGGATCGCACCAAGATCAGGGCCGTTAAAGAGAAGGATCCTTAATCAGGGCTTACGTCATGTTGAATCTACACCTTGAGGCCTTGAGGTCGACTTCGGATGATCTTCACATCTACAAAGTTCCCCGTTATCATCACTATTGGGATTAGGGTTCCAATCCGGACTTCTTCACAGAGAAGTTCGGTAGGTGCTGGAAAGAGCGGTACCTTCATTGGCGTTGTAGCTGTTGATGCCGATATTCACCTTAGGGTTTAGGGTTTAGGGCTTTATTGATACATGCCCTTCAGCATGCAAGCCACTCCTGCCAAACACTAATGTCAAGAACCTCCTCCGTCATGAACACAATGAGGTCTTCATCAAAGCCCTAAACCCTAAACCCTACACTCAGAACCCTAATCTGTAAACCGGTTAAGTCAGTGGCCTGGAACCACCGAATCCCAAATACGGGGCGGTACGGTTGATGATAGAAATCCTGCATTTACAATAAGGAATGTACTTCTAGGGTTTAGCAGTTTTAGGGCTTTAAGGTTTATGGGATTTAGGGTTCAGGGTTTGAGGGTTTACCCATAATAAGGAATATACCATAATTCCCACAGTTTCGGGTCCTTAAGGTAATGCAGGATGTATATCATCAACCGTAGCATTCCGAAGCTGGCTGCCCGCTTTTCCCTTAGGGAAAAGAGCCCCAAAACTTCATGCCACAGCCCTGCCCGACTGATCCGCTGTAGGGGTTTAGGGTTTAGGGTTTTGGCAAGACAAGATCTACCTGCCCGCCCAACATATCGGTGCTATTGATACATAGCCCTTCGGGCTCAAGGGCAGAAACGGGCAATACCCAGGCTGAGGCCAGAAATATAGCCCTATAGCAGAACCCCGCTAAAACCTCAGCGGTGTAGGGTTCAGGAAGAACCTTTAAATCCTTATAGGCCCGAAGCCTACACCCGAAGCCATCCTAAACCCTAACCCTTAGCATCAAAATAGCCCAAAAGCTTTATATAATAGGGTTTTTGGGCCCAACAGCCTTAAACTGTGAGTCTAAATCCTTCAACATCTAAATTATAATAGGAACCCTAATAAGATTTAAGGTATATTCCTTAATTAAGGGGTGGGCATCTAGCCTGCTGAGCACCTCCATGCGAGCATGCTGCGCATGCGGATGCTTTCAGGGGAGGAGGCGGTCAGTCGAAGAGAACCCAGAGACTCCAAAACCCCTTAATGAGGAACATACTTTAAAGTTAGAATAGAAACCCTAATAAGGTTTAAGGTATATATTCCTTAACTAAGGGGTCTTGGAGTCTCTGGAGGGATCGACGGTGTAGAGGTTCAGGGTTCCGGGTTTAGGGCTTTAGGGGTTTAGGGTTCTGAGTTCGGGTTTAGGGGTTAATGGTTCAGGGTCTAGGGTTCAACCCAAGAGTCAGCCACGAGAAGAGCAGTGCTACTCTGTGTGTGTGTGTGCGCGCGTGCGTTTGTGCGCAAGTTGGGGGTCTTTAACGTCTACCTAGACCCCAAAGAACCTACTTTTTTTAAGGACATGCAAAGGAATTGGAGAAAAGGGAACCCTGAAATTATAGATTATTTGGGGTCCAGGTAGAGTATGTCAAACCTAAACCCTCACCCTCGACATCCCCCCACCCTGAACCTCTGAAACTCGAAACCCTAAAGTGTCAAAAACCCCCGAGGTGGCGTCGGTGCCTGCAGAAGAGGTGACCAACGTGAGGGCGTTGAAGCTTGTGTTGAACAAGCAGCATGGGTTTCCCCCGCGATTCAGGCAACGGCTATTCCTTCGCGGTGATCCACTGGAAGATGCTTTCGAGCTAGCCACTTCTACGGACATGGTCCTAGAGTTTGTGGTGCTCGACTTCGTAAGCGTCTCTTTACAGCAAGTGGAGAAATTCATTGGAGCTGCTACATTCGCCAAGCTGTCCAAGGTGGGTTGTTCCCACAACTAAAACGTTCTAAGCCCGACCGTTCCATGCAGTTTACTGTTCAGGCTTGAGAATCGCGCGATGACTGCTACCCGGTTTCTTGGATTTCTGTGACATCTCCAAAACCTTCCGAAATCTTAAAAGCTCGAAACCCTAAACCCTAAACCCCCCCCCTTAACCAACAACCATCCTTAAGCCCTATAAACCCTACAACCCTGTGAACCTGGAGGTTGAGTCCATGCTTCAGCTTCCGCAAGATCCCAATCTTACATCTCCGTCAGGCGCGACACTCCCCAAAACCCAGAACCCCAAAGGCTCCATGTACCTTCATAGTAGATACTTAGGCCTTAAGGTACCTATACAGGGATCCCTCTAAGACCTAAGTAGCTACCATGAAGGTACATGGAGCCTTTGGGAAACAAATCGATCAAAAGCACCTGGAAGGAACCTTTTTCAAAAGAGCCTCAAAGGAAGTTTAGCTTGGTGAAGGTGAGACGGCGCTGGCAAATGCGGTTGCGGAGAACCATTTGGAGATCGCGCGAGTGCTCGTCGAAGCCGGATCCTGCTTGCATGCTGGAGTGGGTGATTGCCGGTCGCCGCCGCTTTCCATTGCAGTCAATGTTCCTGGCGGCATCGCGATGGTGAAATTCTTACTGGAGGCCGGAATGATTAGAAGGCCGATTGTAGTCTCTATTTCGTGATAGGTATACTAATCGCTTCCCCCTAATATTAAACGGGGAGGGGGGGCTCCTCCCCTTAAAGACTACGAAAGTGTTTTCATCAGTAGAGGATATTTTTTTATCTCTACTGTCACTTTTGAGGGGTCGCGCTCTTGCTCCTGCTCTGGCTGTTGCTTCTGTGCTGGCTTTTGCTCCTGCTTCAGCTGCATCTCTTGCGCCTACTACTGCTGCTTTTGCTGTTGCTCCCGCGTTTTCCTCCCGCTCTTGCTCTTACTCCCTCTCTTGCTTTTGCTTCGCTCTTAGGTGCTTAAACCCTAAACCCCGCGCTTTTGCATTTGGTCTTGTTCCTGCTCGAACTGCTGCTCTTCTTTAGCTCTTGCTCTTGCTCTTACTGTGCTCCAAGGGTATTTGGAGCCGCCCAACCTCTAGGGCGTTTTCAGGTGGGTAGTTACTGTTATAGGAGCCTTATAGAAGGTCTATATACCTTGTAGAAGCCTTATAGAAGCCCTAAATACCCTAAACTCCCCACCTGTAGTTGCCTTTAACAACCCGCCCCTCTACTTCACAATAGGTTTTAAAGGGCAGGGATGATTTCGGGAGGATCCGCCCCAATGTGTTTTGGTATGTTTTTTTATTTTTAGGGAGGTAGGATTTAGGGTTTAGGGCTTTTAGGGTTTAGGGTTTAGGGTTTAGGGAGGTGTTTAAGAAAATAGGGAAACGATTAGGGTAGATCGATGCCCTGCATTGCTGGAGGCCGGAGCCAGTATCGATACAAGGAACGCTCATGGTAGCACAGCGCTCGCACTAGCTGCCGCGCATGGTTGCACTGAAGTCGTGCGATTACTGCTCCTCGAGGGAGCCAGGATCGACGTGACGGACAACAATGGCTGGACAGCATTGACAATTGCCAGTTTTCGCGGCCATGCTGAAGTTGTGCAAGTTCTGCTTGATTTCGGCTCCAATGTGCACTATGTGAACGACGCAGGCACGGCACTAACCTCGGCGTCCTATGCTGGCCACGATGCAATCGTGCGCTTGCTTCTGCAGCACAGTGCACAAGTGAATGACTACACCGTGTATTCCGCATCTACCAAAGGCCATGTCAACTGTGTGCGCCTCATGCTGGAGGCCCCGAGCTGGAGGATGGGTTCTTGTTAAGGAATTGAGTTTAAGTTACCATAAATAGGGATGCTTTAAGGGATCTATAAGGGTTCCTTCAAGGTGTTTAGGGTTTAAGGTTTAAGTTGCCAGAATAGGATCTATAGTATAAATAATATGGCTTCCTTGTTATAGTAACTTAACTTCCATCCCTTAACAAGAAACCAGAGGAATGCGCACAGTGCCTTCGTTCGAAGATCGACATGCTCAATGTCATTAACGCGTGCATCGAGACATGGTAGCGCCGACCTCGTTCAAGTGCTGCTCGAAGAACGTGCAGACATCGAAGTTCGGATCCGCGACTTTACCGCTCTGATGGAGGCACCCAGAGACTCCAAAACCTCTTGATTAAGGAATATACTTTAAAGTTATAATAGGAACCCTAATAAGATTTAAGGTATATTCCTTAATTAAGGGGTGTTGGAGTCTCTGGGCCTCTCGCCCCATAGGGGATTCACTCGGAGCCCAAGCACACCGGAGGTAGCAAACAATTGTTTGTTACACTTGCACCCTACTGCAGTCAGGATAAACCCTCACCCAAGACGCAGAGCTCAGTTCCCCAAAACCAGAAACTATTTGCAGCGTAGTTTTGTGGGGATTAGGCTAGGGCCAACCCTAAACCCCAGGTACAAAGCCAATACTGTCGGCACCTGACAACTCCCCGTTCGGGAAAGGAAAAATACTTAAAGTATTTCCTGAGACCTGAAACAGTGTAAGCTGTAATTATGGTGGAAGGCAGCTGCTACGTTGTAACCTTCTGGGAAGTTGAGGCAAGACTTGGACAGTCAGTGCGTGTGTGTTACTTTTCTATTTGTGCAGATGGGTGTGCATACTGTGTATATGTGTCTGTCTCTCTGTCTGCCTGACTGCCTGCCTGTCTGTTTGCCTGTCGGTTTATAAAGGTATATCTTTGCTCTGCAGTATGTCGATGCATGTACATATGAGCATCCGTCCGTCAAAACTTCCGTAATTGTAGTTAAGAGTAGGGTGGCCGTGGAATGCCGGATCTTGCCAATTTGCGATAGGACTCCCCCCTCCCCCCAAAAGCGATACGATCAACAAAGGTCATCTGTTGTGACATGTCAGTGCTCCCACGGCGTGTGTTGCTTAAATTTCTATGAGATATATTCTGGGCTAGGCAATCGACAGCCTAATCGATACCCACTAGTTCGTTTCGCAACCCACTGCCCATTCTGATGGAAAAAGGGCAGTATAGGGCAGTAGATAGGGCAGTAGAGGGCAGTAAAGGGCACCCAAGGGCAGTAAAGGGCAGTAGAGGGAATCCTTGTAAAGCGATGGGACATGGATGATTTGGGGGGTCTGGCCATGAATAAGAAGTTTTGACGAACGTTCATATATACTTCACATGCAGATCTGTTGGGGCTCTTTCCCTAGCTCTCTTTCTCACAAACATATATATATATATGTATGTTTGTATGTATGTATGTATGTATGTATGTATGTATGTATGTACTTATGTATGTATGAATTTCATATGTATACTGAATGAGTTTGAATATGAATATATATATATGTATAAGCCAGTTAACAAATAATGCATACATGTATAGATACGTGTGTGTGTGTATGTAGATATATATATATAGATACATGCATACACATCCTATATTCGATGAGCAATGGTTTGTTCGGTAGCAGACAGACGGAGACAGACAGAAAGACAGACGAAGGACAGGCACAAACGAGTACATCTGAGTAAATGTTATATTAGTTACGCCCTCATTTTGAATGCAAATGTGCGTCTCCGCGTACGTGGCTTCCTTTCGTGCCGTCTCTGCCTTTACTTATTGTATGTATACATCTGTCTAAAGTAAAGGCCTGAACTCCAGAACGTAGGCCCTTCATCCGCACTGATCCAGGCTTCTCTGTACAGCCGGGTGGACGTGGTTCGTGTTTTGCTGAAGGCGGGTGCCGATAAGGATGCAACGGATCGAGATGGCACCACGGCTTTGATGCTGGCAGCCATGCCGCCGAGCCGATATTTCGAGCATGATTCTTGTGGAGTTGTTTCTGTCTTCAAGCCCGACGTTTCTGGAAACCTCTGATTAGAAGTGCCCGCCCGCTAGATGAATGGTGTACTTGTAGGGACCGATGTCCTGAATGTTTGTGACTTTTGTATGCTTAGGACAGGCCATGCCGAGATTGTTCACATGCTGCTAGAGGCGGGTGCCGCCAGAAACTTGGTTTCCAAAGATGGAACCACAGCGATGATGGAAGCTACTTCGTGGGGGCACATCGAGGTCATGGACTTGCTGAAGCCTCGAAAGCGGAAGAGGGACACCTTGCCTTAACCTACTGAAACCTACTCTTTTGTAGACTCCAAAAAAATCCAATAGTAAGAACCGACAAAGAGTAGGTTATGGTAGTTTAAGGTAGCCACTGCATATTCGATTCTACCTTAGACTAAACCCCGAACACCGGGACAGGCTAGCGGCTGTGCGCCCGACAGGAAAAGCACCGTCCACGACCATGCGGAGGGGTTTGCATGGGTGTAGGAACCTAGACCCTTGATGAAGGAGTCCTCCGCTCCCCTAGAAAGTATTCTACGTTGAGTTTCCCAGTAGGACCCTTGTGCCCTGTTGTTTTAGGGTTCCCTTATCAAAACCAAATAGTAGGCAAAAAAGGCCCCCTTATTTCTAAGGGGTTACTCCGAAAGAGTCCTCCGCTCCCCTAGAAAGTATTATACATGACACCCTCACTCCCAAAGGGCCCAAGTACCAATACACGGTTTGGGCTTTAGGGGTTTAGGGTTCAGGTAGCTACTTAGTAGATATTTGGTACCCTAAACCCTAAACCCTATATCCTATACCCTAAATTCCCTAAACCCTAAACCACTCGTTACTTGGACCCTTGGGTATTTGTGTTTAGGGGGCTACTGAGCAGATTTGGGTTCCATCGGCGGTTGCAGCGTAGGCTCACTAGACCCTAAAGTTTGAACCCCGAAACTTCCAGATACTACGGCTGATGATAGAAATCCTGCCTTACCTTATTCCTTAAGTTAAGGACCCTAAACCATGGTAATTATGGTATAGTATATTCCTTATTATGACCTATTATGGGTAATGCAAAAAATACACCACCATCAGCAGTATTTATCAACCCTGAATCCTACTTCAACCATCATGATCAGGTTCGTGGTCTTTGTCAGCTCTTCTCTGATGAGCTGGAACCAGGCACGATAAAATCGCTATCCTTAAGGGTCCATGTACCCAAATAGGGTTCCTTTAAGGGTTACTACAAAGTCTCTATGTAAGGGTTCCTTTAAGGGCTCTAAAGGTTCAGGGTTTAAGGGTCTATGTACCCAATTAGTGATTATATACTTCGGCCTCAAAGTAGTCCCTACATATGTGCTTTGAGGCCAAAGTATATACTCTTGTGATCCCTGTATGTTTTAGCAGCTGCGTAGGAAATCTTCAAATTTTTCAAGTATATAAACTGTTACCATAATGAGAAGATTAACCGCTGTCTGGGCTGGGGTTTAGAATGAGGGGTATATGGGGCCACACTACGCAGGCCCTGAGATTCTTTAAGATGCTGCACCTGCCATCAAACTTTCAATCTTGCAGGGCATTGCGGTGAGCGGTTGTTCAGGGAATTGAGAGCCCCTGACCCTAAATCCTAAACCCTAACCCCTAAATCCTACACCCGAAACCCTAAACCCTAAATCCTAAACCCTAAACCCTAAACCGTACTGGCCGTCCCGGCCCGATTGCAAACAAACGGAGCGAGGGGATGCCAGGGTTTCGAGACAGCTCCTGAACCGTTTAGGGTTTAGGGTTTTAGGGTTTAGGGTTTAGGGGTTTAAGGGTTTAGGGTTTAGGGTTGATGAACGGATGTTCGGTTGAAGAAACATCCAGGTTGTCTCTTGGTGGCATAAAAAAAACTCTTGCGACAACTTTAAACCTCAACGAATGAGTGTTTCGGAGTTTCCTGAGCTTTAACCCCAAGGCCTAAAGCTTGCAACCCTCGTTTTCAGACCTCTTTCCTGTTGGAGGCCTTCTACCTCCTCCGATCCCGGAGATGACAGCCAATAGGCTGGTGCTTACGTAAATCCCTACAAGGGTAGTTCTCTAAAGTAGGGCCCCTTGTGGGTCCCCAACATAGTACCGGCACCCTTATAATAAGGACTCTAAAAGGGACCCTAATTTAGAGAATTACCTGCAAGTAGGCAACTTATAATAGCCCAACACGTATAGAAAAAGGCTATCATTTCACATACTTTGGGTTTCTTGGGTGGGGTTTAGGGTCTTGGGCTGAGGGTATGGGGGTTCTGGGTCTGGGTCCTGGGGTCGCCGATTTTGGGGTGTACCTACAGGCCCCTAAGTAATATTCCTTTTTGGGATTACCTTATAGGGTTCTAAATATAAACCATAAAAAGGAACTACTTCGGGGTCTATGGTTAGTTTCCACTAAATTGCTACGGGCTCTGTAAAAGGTCGCAGGGGCCGTTGAGGGTCGAGGTATTTCACACCAGAGCTATAGAAATCTAGTTTACACAGAGGTCCATGTGCCTGGATTTTATAGACTTATAACACTAAACCCTAGAAAGATAACCCCAAGCCCTAAACCGCCGAAAGGGGGATCCTACAGAGGAGCCGTAGGCGCATGGGCCCACAATGGAGGTCCGGAGCCAAGCCCCTGAACCCGAAACCTCTAAAGCTCTATTAAAGGAAACTACAGGTGGGGAGTTTAGGGTTTTGGGTTTAGAGGTTTAGGGTTTAGGGGTTTAGGGTTTTAGTTAAAAGAAACTACAGGTGGGGAGTTTAGGGTATATAGGGCTTCTATAAGGCTTCTATAAGGTATATATAGACGTTCTATAAGGCTCCTATAACGGTAGCTACCCACCTGAAAATGTCCTAAACCCTAAACCCCTAAACCCTCTCAGCCCCAGAATTCCAGAGCCTGACCTCGAGCCCAACGCAGCTTAGGCTTTAGCTTTCAGGGCTTTAGGGTTTAGGGTTTAGGGACCTAGGGGTTTTGAGTCATGACCTCCAACCCTACAGACCCTAAGCCCTAAACCCTAGGAGCATTGAGTGTAAAGTCAGATGCCAGCGCTTCCATGATGTTGGACCCCTGCGGACGCACCTGAGGCCTAAACGACGGTGCACCGTAATCCCAGAAACTGAACCCCTGGCGTTTAGGGATTAAGGTTTAGGGTTTTGGGGTTTTAGGGTTTAGGGGGTTCGGGTTTTAAGGTCTAGGGGTTGAGGGTTTGGGGGTTTAGAGTTGCCGAAAGCACCCTAATTCTATAGGCCTTCCTTAAGGCCTCAACCTGCGAACTCGCACTGATCCTGAGATCTTGGACCACTAGAAGTGAGACCCCAAAGCCCTCGAGAGACCCCGTAAAACCCAAGAGTTCTACCTCAGGGTTTAGGGCTTAGGGCTTGGGGCCTAAATCGAGGATCATGGCTGGCAGTAGCTACAGGTATAGTTACGTTATTTATAACCCCTATACTCAGTCCTATGCCCCTTTAAACAAACCCCAAACCCCCACGAATCCCCTGTAGAACCCGTTTAAGGAAGCCTTCTTGGGGAATCCGTCCCATGATCCTTCAAGCATGGAGACCCTCATAAGCCCGTCCAAAGTACCTATATAGTAGAACGTAGGGTTTTTATGTTCGGAATTACCACTGTGATTTTTTGGGAAGTATCCCCCAAAACAGCACCTAGCTTCTAGAAGCCTCCCCTCTGAAGATCCCCGGTGTCGCTGGAAATCGCGGATGAGGCCCAAAGCCCACGGAAAGCTGTTCGAATTGTAAGGGTTTAGGGTTTAGGGCTTCTTCGGTGCCGGAGGTTTATAAGGTTTAGGGCTCACTGTTTAGGGTTTATTCGGTGCCGGAGGTTTAGGGTTTAGGGCTTCGGGCCTAAGGCTTATAAGGTTTAGGGCTTATTCGGTGCCGGAGTCTTCCCTGAAGACCAAGACCCTACCTGTAGCCGAAAAAACCTACCTTTTTTTAGGGCTCCTTTTTTATGGTTTCTATATATGGTTCCTTAAAGCTCCTTTTTTATGGTTTCTATATATGGTTCCTTAAAGCTCCTTTTTTATGGTTTCTATATATGGTTCCTTAAAGCTCCTTTATTATGGTTTCTATATATGGTTCCTTAAAAAAAGGTATAGGTCTTTTTGGGCCGCAGGTAAACCCTGAGACCTGAAGCCTTCAACCCTTAAGCCCGAAATACCGAACCCCGAAACCCAAGCCCCTAAAGACCCTAAACCCCTAAACCCCTGAACCCCTAAAGCCCTGAATCCCTAAACCCCTGAATCCCTAGACCGATTGAGCTTGATGGGGTTCAGGGTTGCAGTTGCAGGGTGTAGGATTTACGCGCCGACGGTGAAAGGAAGCCTCAGAGTTTAACGAAAGGGTTTAGCTTCTCTGGTTTAGTGTTCCCAAAAAGGGATCTATAAGGGGTCTATAAGGGGTTAGGGGTTTAGGGTTTTTAGGGGTTTAGGGTTTTTTTTAGTGTGCTCTGTGCCATAACGGAGTCCGAAATCCTAAAGCGAGCTATCCTAAACGGACTTCGCTGCTTCTAACCGTTTTCTGACGCTCAGAAACGAACGCAACGGAGTACGTCACATGAGGGATGCCTGAAACCTCGAGCGTGGTTAGCCATCCTTGTACACTTCGACCGAGATAATGAACATTGGAGCAGGTACTAAGATCCTATGCCTATACTCTTAACCGACCGCCCTAGCCTTGCACCCGAAGCCACCCCAAGCCCCTAAACCCCCAAACCCTAAACCCCTAAACCCCTAAACCCTCAACCCCCCTGAACCGTGAAGCCGAGACCGGTAAAGCTGTAAGACCCAGCCCTAAACTTCTTTTACAAAATCCCCACCCCACCTTGAGTTTTGGCATTTAGGGTTTAGGGTTCAGGGGTTTAGGGGTTTAGGGTTCAGGGGTTTAGTGATTAGGGATTTAGGGTTTATGGCATCCTGAGTCCGAGAAGGCTCGACTTAGACTTTGAACAGACTCCGTAAGTTTTCAAGCACTGTTCGAACTCTGGCTTCGTCTTTCGGAAATCCTCGGAACCGTCACCTGGGGATTCCAAAAGCCTTGTATCAAGGAAGGGGTGTGTATGTGTAAGTATATATATATATACATGCATGTGTATGTATATGTGGGCCCTGATCCCTAATCCCTAAACCCTAATCCTCCAAACTTTCAAGCCCCAAAGGCCCCCGTCAAACCCGCCTACAAACCTTCACGAGCCCGATAATCCCGTACAGTCAGCACTAAGACTCCCACACTACGCTCTACCACCCCTTTAAATACGGTCAAACCCTAATCCC